CAGATTTTGTCAGAATTCTCCACAGATTACTATTAGCCTCATTTATGAGACTGTACAGAGAACTGTGAAATCTCCTTTGAACTCTAAGGGCCAGATGGTTTTGCTGTTAGATTCTAATGACCCACAGCAGTGTGCATACACAGGCACTACAGTTGCCAGTTGACTGCAAACGTGATGGAGGCAGGAGAATTCATGACCTGTACTTCCAAACACAAGTCCCCTCACTGCTTATGGGATAAAAAAGCAGTTCTGCTACTGCCTCAAGAGGGAGATTATTACTAAAGCAAGCCATGAGCATACCTGGGCCTGAGGAGTGAATGGCAGGCACATCGTCTCATGCAATTTCAGGAAGATTTCTGCTGATGCAGGAAGCTGCAAGTGGCTTTTGCTGGAAGGTGAGGGTTTCCTGGCAGGCTGTGTGGGCCACTGGTCCCAGCACTGTATCATTCTGTGCTGGAAGAGGGAAGAAAGGCTGGACTCAAACCAATTAAAGCTTGTAGGGCAGAATGGTAGTTACTCTGCTGTCATATGGAACTGCTTGTAAGGCATGATTTATTTTGGATTATATTGGTTTCAACTGGTATAAAATGAACTTCCTGATTTTTCAAGGGTATGTAGACAAAAAGACAAAATATGGTTTTACTCATCTTTTAATTTAGAACTACAAGTGTTTGGATGACCTGTGAAATTATTTTAATGATCTCTGCATAACACAGAGCTGTCAGCACTATAAATGTCATCCTAACTGGGTATTAGTTTCCATCATGGCCATTTAGTCTCCCCAGCAGAACTACCTCCATGCAAATCTCTTATCTATGTCAACCTGTTGCAAAAAAACAAAGCATCACTCTTGCCAATAAGCATCAATCAGATATTTTCATACCACTCAGTTTGAAGAGGAAGACACAAACAGAAAATCTAAGAGCACTGTGTATGTGCAGCTTGCCCCTGGAGCTTCAGGCATAGCAGTCAGGGGACGATTTGCATTCAAACCAATGCTTTTATTTCTGATTATTAAAAATGTGTTCCAGCATTGCTCATACTAAGATAAAGATTTACCCTTAACTTTCCATTTTCCTTCCTTAGCTTTGTAACACTAGGAAAAGTCACAGGGTAAGAAGTACTTCTGTGAATGATAAGTGTGACAAATTGAACTTGATACAACTTTAGACTGCTGGTACAAGATGAATATGAACTGATCACATGAGGTTGCTCTTTTGTTCTCGTGTAGAAAGCAAAGAAATTGTTTGACCAGTATGAGCTGTAAGGATATATGTATGATATTGTCATAAAGCAAATCAACAGAATTTGAAAATAAGAAAACAAAATGAGGGATGTGTGACTGAGGAGGAGTGGAAGAAGTGTAGAAGATAAACAGTTGGGCTTTTAACATTTAAAACTTACAGGAAAGATAAAACCATCAAAATTTTGTGTATTCTCCTTTTCAGGCATTTTGTGGGGTTTTTCCTCTTCAAAGTTAGGAATATAATCGTCAAGTTTTAAATTATTATCTTCTGCCTTAGCTCACGTACACCATATTTTAAGCATGGCAAAAGAAATACTGCTGCATTTTGGATTTGTTCTTGTTTTATAGACATTTAAATGACCTTGTCATAGGATTTTTCCAGCACTGTAGCTTGTTCTTTCTGTTTCATACGTATTTTAAAAAGATATCTAGTGTTGACTTGTACTTGCATATGATGTAAAAAACGCTGAAGTTTGCTTTCGAGTGTTTGGAACGTCAGCTGATGTACATGCAGTGTACAATAGCTGTTCTTCAAACTTGGGATAAAAATGAAATGTGAAAGCACTGTGTTGCACAAATCTCCTCTTAAGATGGGTAACATAAGTGAGAGAGCCTCTGACAGAGTAGAAGTTCTGCCTTCTTTCTCTGCAGGCTCCAAGTAGGGACAATACATAATATTTCAGAGCTCTCCTTTCTTGCTTACAACTTTATTTTGCCCCAGAGCACCTATTTGAAGTCTCTTGTCCATGGCTATCAAATAGTTCCAGTCTTTTCCATAACTAAGGCAGATTGTCTTTCTTTCCAGATAATTGAACATGCAGATGCAACACTTGTAAATCAGGGGTGTCACTTTCAAAGCCCTGAAAAGATCTTTTAATGTAGTAAACACAAAGTTTAGCAAGTTGAAGCAGTAGTATCTACAGTGTGTCAAAATGGTTCCAAAGGCATCACATCCGCAACAGTTAAAGAAATTAAAGAGGTGCTTGGGAAATTTCTTGTTATTCCTGAGCACCTCAGTTCTTCTGGTCAGGGTGCTGTGAGTCAGCAGGCACTAGTCCTCACAGGAGTGGGCCTTACAGGATTTATATGTCCAGCCCCAGTCCCGCTCAGCCAGGCTGAGGCGTGGGAAGCGATGCCTTTGAAAACTGGCACTTGCAGTGATTCAGCTGCCGCAAGCCGGAGCCCTCCGAGTGACATGAGTGGGCACGGCTCCCAGCGTGTCAGTGTGCATGCCACTAACACTGGCTGAGGGACTGAGCCCTGCTCCTGGGCTTGCATAGCTAAACCTCTTCCATTTAAGGCAGCAAGCACAACATATGCTGAACTCCAGACCCCAGGTCCAGGGGAAGCCTAGCCGTCAGTGAGCCAGCACTGCCAAGGAGCTCTCCACATGAAGCGCTGCCATAGCAAAGGTCTTGAATGACTAAAATTCTTGAAAGCCTTGGTCAGTATCAGAGACAGTTTCCAACTGGGCAAAGTACAATATTTTCCCTCTGCTTTTTATGAATGGCTGGATAGGGTTGTGCTGGAGTCAGAGTTCCCTGTGGAAGCCATTCATAAAAATAGCAAAACAAAACAAACACATGCAAAAAAAAACTTTAAAGGTCCAGTCCAAAGCCACTGGGTGCCAGAGGGTGGGAAAACATGCTGGCAGCTCAAGCCCCAGCTATCACTGAAAGTATTCAAGGGGCTTTTTGGTGGTCTGAAAAGTATGAACTGCTGTGTAGAAGGGCAGCTGGTAGAATTACTGTGACACATACTAGGCAGAAAGCCAGAGCTGGCCTTGTTTCAGACATTGTCTTTCCTCTCATTGAAGTGTCAGGACCTAATTCATGGAAAATATGGTGAGTTGGCAGCTCTTTCAGAAGATTTCATTGAGTTACAGTGAGTGAGAGTCACATGAACATAGAGTGCACGGCCAAAAATATATGGGGATTTCTGAGCTGGAGAAAACAGTAAACCTCTAAAAATGTCTGTGGATTTCATGTGGTTTGGGAGTAGACACATGTACAGGTGTAATCAACAGGCAAAAAAAAAAAGAAAATAAAGTGAAAAATAAATTTGACAGATTACAGAAGAGCTCAATGAGTTCTATAATTATGAGAGATTCCTTTAAAACAAATCATTCCTTTGTCCAAGAGCAGCAAATGTCTATTAATGAGTTCAGGGCCTGCAGTCCACCTGGAGAAAGCATCAATAAAATGTGTGCCTTGATAATAGTTTCTCCATTGCAAGGGAATTTAATGGAAAAGGAAAGTTCAGGAAAACACCCTGAAGTTTAAAGACAGACCCAGTCATCAGGTAGTTTTTTTCCTCTCATATTTATTTGAGAGCAGAACTTGGAGACAGTTACATAGAAAAATATAACAGCAGTAGGGTTCCACTGAGTTAGAAAAAGACTGAAAATAAACAAAGCATCTCTTGTTAAAATGGGACACTTGTGGTTGGCAGCCGAATTTAATCAGTTACATTTAATTTACATTTTCATTGATCCTTCCCACTGAAATATTGCTCTGAAAGGCCAGTTACACTAAACTGCTTATTCAGAAATATTCCAGTTATTTCCTACTACACTGTCGTGAAAATTAGGTTTTTGGCCATGCAGAGGGATGGCATGTTGGCTTCTGCCCAAGCAAGGCACTAAAGTCATGGCTGGGATTAGGAAAAAGCAGGAAGGAAGGGCAGGAAGAAAATCATTGGGTGCAATTCATAGACTTAAAAAACAGAATGTCCGGGGGAGGGAGAGAGGTAGGCAGCAACTTTGTCCCACTGAAGTAAGAAAAGCCTTTTTGTTGTTTCTGTTTCAGGATTTCATCCTTTATCTGTGGCCTTATTGTTCCATGCTGCTCCTAGCACCCACAAGGGTCATCGCATCATCTGGGCAGCGCTGGTGTATTTTAAGCGTGTCTGTATTAATTGGTGCTCCTCTTCTTCCGGGTGGGGATGAAGCACGCTGGCACCTTGGTGGGTCTCCTGACTCATGTGAGGACTGTGTTTCCTAGTCCTGGGTGGGACCAGCCAGGGGAGACTCGCTGAGAACCCATGGTGGTCCCACCAGGTCCTGCATAGGCAGGTGGACACACACAGCCTGGCCAGTGATGGACGTCCCTGTAATCACACAAATAGGCTTGCAAGGGTCAGCACAGCATCAGCTTCATGCAGCTGAAAGTCTCAAACCAGAACTCACGAGGGCTGGAACCAAGGGCTGGAACCACTGTCCATCCCAGTCTCCTTGGTTTTGGCAGGGGTGGCTTTGGTCAAGTGGCTCAGGAATGGGGTTGTGTGTCCTTCAGCTCTCTGTCTGAGCTTTGACTCTGCTCGTGATGAATAGGGAGGGATTTCGCACAGCAGGACACTCCACTCACAGCTGAGAATGTAAGAGAGCAGCAACAGTGGAGGCAACAAAATCTCTTTATAAAATCAGGTCACTCTCATGGTCTGATGAGTTAAGGCAGCAGTACCACAGAAGAGCCAAAGATGGAACATGCTAAGTTAGATTTCACTTCGGTTTTAATTAACTTAACATACTGCTCTTCATCCACAGTAACATGAACTACTTCAGAGCAAAGTTGTAGATAGGTATAGGAGAGGCTGGGTGTGAGAGTTGGGTATGTTTATCTCTCCATTTCTGACTGTGGGCTTTTCCTGTTTTTTATTTCTATTGCTGAAAATACTTTTCCTAGCACTCATAAAATCACAGTTAACTGCTCTCACTTAATTTTGTTTCTCACTTTGCCTTTGTTTTACTTTTCAGCCTCAACAAGTGGTTCAAAAGAAGCCTGCTCAGGTAAGAAAAACTAATTTAAATTGTTTAGACTACTTTTAAGTGAAATAATTTTTCAGTATTTCAACTGGCCTCTTTCACTGTAAAGAAAGAAGTTAAATGCATTAATCTCATGAGCTGGAGGACAGCTCTTGGCTTGCCGGGCACAACCACCAGAACAAGTCATGCAGTGGCCCTTGGGAAAGAGAGGAGGAAGCAGGGGACAGTGCTCAGAATTGTCCTCCTTCTGCATTGGTAACCTTGCAGTGGTAATGCAGACACACATGCACTCTTCTGTGGTGTGAGTCCAGCACATAAGAAATATCTCTCTGCGTCTTGAATGTGGATAGGTGGGAACTGCATTACAGCAAGGAGGGGCATATGCATGAAACCCATCCCTGCTTTTCTTAGTGCTGCATATCTGTAAAGCCTTATAAGATAAGGGCCTTTGTGAAATCATGGCTCAGGCCTGTTACTTAGGCTAAGTAGAAGGGAACTATGGGAGAGTGACTCAGCTGGAATAGGGGTAGAGATGTGAGAGATGTGAGAGGCGTGCTGTGTGATGGCTGCATGTCCATGTCGTGCTGTATGGTGGTTGGTGAGCTTGGCTTGTTCTGCCTTAAAACTGTGTAAACTAATAACCGGCTGCCTGCTTAAAAAGGCTTGGTTTCTGCAATAAAGCAGCTCTCCTTTGCACTGCCTGAGGACTCTGCATTGCTCTGCATTGTTACACTAAAGGATTCTGTAAATCCACAAAATATAATAGGCTGAACTTGGTAACCAGATTGGATCCGTCATAAAGACTAACACATTGGAACTGCTTGTGTTGGGTAGTATTATTCTTTTTTGACACTTTAAAAAAAAATGCTAGCCACAAGGTTTCATGAAACCAGTCAAACACTGCTGTTAGAATCCACTTCATTTTCCTTTCCCAGCCTGCCCTGTGTTAAAAACCCCAAGAACCTAACTCTGACGCTTTGTTATATGTGCACTAACAGAGGAAAACCTCTGGGCATGGGAGCAAGTCCATAACTGCTCAGCAGAGTCCATGGGCTGTGCTGCTGTACCTTCATGTACATGAATGATTGCTATGTCAAGAGTCCATTGCTCTTCTGGAAAGAGGTCTGCTTTTAGAAAGGAATAATACTTCAATTTTTCCACCTTACAGTTCTAATACATTATTATGCAGTGTACATTGCCATTATATCAACTGTAATCTGAATCAGGAACATATGAAACAGAAAACATCCTAGCTATGAGTTGAAGGGGTAAAATGATGTGACTCTCCAAAGCATGTGCAGGAATCAGATTTCTACAAAAGAAACCAATACAGTTGAATGATGAATCCATGGCACAGCTAATAATGTCTCTGAGTGGTAGAAGTAACACACAGGATGAATGTAATAGTATTTTCAAGTAAGGTTAAGTTTTGCAAGGGGAGGTAATGTCTTTTGTTAGGCCAGCTTATGCAAAAAACAGCCTAAGTCCCCAGTGACTTTCTGTGTATGGTCTGACTACACCACACAATTCAGAACACACCAGGCTGTTCTAATAGAAGAGATTTCCTCTCCATGTCTTGCTTATATCCTTCAAGTGTTACTCCTACAATCAGGCTATTCCTACTACAACATGGTCGTAAACCTGTTGGTGGCACAAAGCCAGCTCTCCCTTGTGTGGCACCTGAGTGACAGGGAGGCTAAGCCCTGCTGCAGAGAGGAGACAAATCCAGGAGGCAGAGACTCCCAGGCGGCTGCTCATGTTGCTTTTTCCTCTGGTACACATCAGAGCTCAATCCCACTGAGGTCAGCAGGAAGAAGGGGTCTGGAGCTGATGGCTGTAGCCTAGCCTAGCAGGAGGCATTGCTGCCAATAGCCTTGTGGTGCTGCCAGGTTTCCAAGCTGCCCAGGCATTGACTCCTGCAAGTGTTTTGTTTGCACAATAACCATGTGCAGCCCTGGTGCGAGAGGAAGAAATATCTGGGACTGAAGCTGGGCTGGGTTGTAGGAGGACAAAGAGGGGACCCGGACTCTGTTGTTTTGTAGCAGAACAAATTAATGACAGATTTAATTGATGGCCAAATGATGTAGGCATTTGAACTGAAGCACTAGCATTCCCCATACGGATTTTCCTGACCGTTTGCTGAAGCAGTGATTCTGGTAGGGATGCTGTAGCGTGTGTCAACCAGCTGGATGCCACTGCTGCTGCAGTGGTGCTCAGCAGCGTCTCTGTAGGCAGAGACGAAGAGCGAGGCAGAGAAAAGAAAGCCCTTTGACGTTCCCATTAGTAGTGGAAGTGTTTAGAAGCAGATAGTGAGGAGCCACAGAAGAATACATGAAGGAGAAGGCTGTTTAGATCTCTCCAGTTGCCACAAGTGAATAGTGAAAGAACACCTTAAATTATTTATATGCCATGTCTTTACACAGACAACATTTCTGGTTTTAATCTTTAGATGAAGGGATGTTCAGTGAGATCACTGAACTTATCTTCAGCCCTTCCTGGTTTTAACAGGCCCCACTCTCACATTTGCAGTACCACACCATTGCAGTTTTGCTGTATAGGTGCATGGCAAAGAACACAAATTTATCACTATGAGCAAATGCTCAGGACAGTGTCTTCCTGAGGCTGACAGGAGAGGTAAAACAGTGTAATTCATGGGATGATCAAGAACTTCTTGCTGCTGGATTTCCCTCAGGTCTTTCTCTGATTTCTTTTTATAGTACCTAGTTTCTCTTTAAAGTAGGGAGGTTCAGACTCAGAATTAACAAGAACATGAGCTCATGCAGGCTTTCTAATCTGAGCTAAGGAAATAGTGATAAATTATATAAACATGGGGCTACATGGAAGTTCATGGAGGATAATGTAAATCTTATACTACATTCAGAAGAATCTCTTCCTTTTCCATCTGTTTCCTTCAAAATATCCTCCCAGATGGCTTTACCATGTGGCAGTCTGGATTAAGTTAGAAATGTATACTTTCTTCATTGGTGGGGAGTGTGAGAGGTTACAGTCAAGACCTACTGGTTGATGGTGATCCTGCCTTGGTGAAAGTGGCAGAAACTCTTGCTCAGGCTTAGTCCCTGAGTGGTCTCCTGTGCTTTGAATTTCACGTGTATTCTGAAAGATTTCTATGAGTGTTAGTTTACATCACTCTTACTCTTTTTATTGCTGCTAGCAAGTATGTCTCTTGGGTTTGTGTCACTTTTAAAAGTACAGAAGCAGTAAGACCAGATAAAATTCTCATTTTGCAAATAACAGCTCTGTTCCTATCACCATCTCCCAGATTTTAAGCATCATGCAGGGCACTGCCATGCTCTAAATCTCTTCATGGATATCAGCTGTCCAGTTTAGGGCCGTACAGATGCTTATGTAAACTACTGCAATATCTTTAAACTTTGCCAGAGCTCTGAGGATTTACCATCACACAGAGAGTAAATAGCAGCAGTAAAACCCACTGGAAATCTACACACCCATGTCCTTAATATAAAGCTTTGAGTGCAGTGGTCTGTTCACATCTTTGTGATGATCACTGATGCATACTCTCACACTTCATTGGGGAAATGAAGGAAAGAGCCAGCATAACTGCGTGATATTGGTAAGTTTAGCACTTTCACATAGATATTTGCCTAAACCTCAAAAGAAGACTCTTTGAAATCTGCTCTGTCTCTAAAGCCGGATCTTACAGTCATGACATAGTAATATTTTTACCGAGGTGTGCAAGTACACAGTCCAAACAGAAATTTCCTCATTTCCTCATTTTTAAGCAATTTGTAGCAGCTGTTGATTCAGCCATATGGGGGAGTTACACTCAAAAGTAATATGAAGGAAATAGATGCTTTTAGGAAAACACAATGAAAGCAATCAAAATTTTCTGGAAACAGGACATTTGGGGTTTTTTTTATCATTTCTGCAGAAAAGACATATAGTGAACATAGAACAGCGCTTTGAAAATTTTATTATCTCTCTTAAAATCTCAAATCCTTGGAAATCCTTTGTATCTGAGTCTGAAAGACAGCATACCAGTCAGAAAGACAGTGTGTAAATCAGAATAAAAGTGTATCAGTCAGAAGAGTACACATAAAGTATACATAGAACATAGTGTACACAAGAAAGTGTACAGCAAAACGTATACCAAAAGAACAAGTGAAGCATACTTCCCTACCTAATGCTAAATGTAGTAGTTTTTAAAACAATGCCCAAAAAAAACCAAATCCAACAAGAATAAACACTAAAAAGTGTAGTCTTTTTTTGTACAGAAAGAAGATCTGGATTTCCTACATTTTATCCTGCTACTCATTTCTCAGTGTCTGTATCAATAAAGTTATGCATGTGAATCATCAAATATATATATATATATATATATATATATATATACACACACACACACCTTAGGTTGCATCTATTGCATATGTCTACTCAGTGTAGGACACAGTAAATGCTAGAAGTATCATACACACAGGCCCTGCAGCCACATAATAAAACTGCACTTACACAAGCTTCAGGCATTCTGTGTATCTGCTAGCCACCATATGTGAAATCATCCTTTTCCCTTCTGGGAAATGGCAGGCAGAAATGTGGTAGGAATACTCCGGAAATCCACTTTTTCAGGTTGGAAAGAAGCTTCCAGTTCACAGACAGGATGGCACCAAGCAGGTGCACAGACACATCCGAGAGAGTGAGTGCCATTGTCCAAGGCCACCCTGTGTCCTGCGAACCCAGCAATGTTGCAGTCTTGGTCAACTGAGCCTTGACTGTAGAAATACTGAATAATCTCTGCTCTGGAAGTTGACTGGGTGCCCTGGGGTGTCATTGCTCTTTCCAGTGCATTCAGCAAGCTATGTTTTGTCTCATGGAATTTTTCTGTGTTTATTGATATGGAGAGCCAGAAAGTTCCCAGGAGAACTCCCAAAAAGTCATATCCTGGAGAGGTAAAACTCTTTTCCAGTGACATGTGGAATTTTGTACTTTAGCACAGGATAAATGTGTACCTGTTACACAGGCCACTCCAGAACACCCTCTAATGTACT